AAATTACATAAGCGCATTCACTCAAAATAAGTACTGAAATAACGTATGATTTCAACTAATCAATTAGAAGCCAAGAAAATACACCATTCAAATAAACGAAATGAGATACTAACGTTTTTGTCTCACAGTTTTGGATACCATTCGATTCGCTCGGTTGTTTGCCATGTTTATCTGCAGTGGATGGATTCAACCCAAGAGCCGCGAGATCCTGGAATCGTAAACAGAATTTTTAACAAGAAAAAGGATCGATTAGGAGCCCTTTAATGTGACCACGTTTATTGGGATGCAATACAACGGAAAATGCTTTCCGTATGAAACTGCATGAAAATTCAATGAGGAAATATAACAATTCAAACCTTTTGGAGCGCATACGAAATGTCGACAGTTGTCGATGATCGCCCAGCAATTGTCACAATACGCGATTCGTTCGCGGTCAAGAAGTCCAAGTCCATAAGTGCCGATGATGCCGAAATCGCTAAAATTCACTCCGCATTTATACCAAATAATACCTACGATGATTAATCCACCTTAATGGGCCACCAATTTGCGATAACAATCGATCAATTCCATCAATCACTGCCACATTTACAAACTTTGACAGCAAATTTCGAGGCAAGTCTCAAAGTAATCCCATAAAATGAAACTTCACTCTACTGCCTCGTAGCAAAAAACTCTAGGCATTCTTCATGCAAACGAATCTTATACAAGTGACAGCTCAATTGATGCAACGCTCAAAATATGTGGCACATTGCCTTCTAAGACGACACTATGGCTGAACATAATCCTCCGAATATAAAGGCGTCCGCATTTTCCCATCAAACAACGAATCTGTTTGAAACACCAAAACAATCGAAAACATTCCTGGCTAAAAAAAATAGCAAGTAGCTGTAAAATAACTAACATCCAGCAGTTAGCGGATTTGTCAGGCCTGAGTTACCCCAGTCGAACTGCGCCGGAGGAACGGCCAATGAGTCAACCACCTCGGGAACAGTCTCAGGACGTGGCGAGTGGTTGACATGCCGTCCGGAACGCTTTTGCTGCGCTAGGTCATGCTTTTGAGGTCGTTGCGAGTTCAAGTCGATCGTCGTTCCGCTAGATGACCTGAAAATATGAAATCATCCATTCCCCAATTGCACTATTTTCTCTGAACCGATCGAACAATCAACTATTTGAAAGTATTAGTGATGATATAGATGGATACGGCAAACACTTACGAACGGAAACAGCATCAAAGTAATTAAACAGAGGTTATCGCGAAATTGTGATCCGATGTCGATCTCACAATATGATCTCGTCATTTCATAACTTGTTTTANTTTTAATCGTGTTACATAAAGGATTCTCATCAAAACCGATCACAGCTTATGATCAGCAACAGAGTGGGTTTTTAAGCGATTATCAATGATTTATCCGTATTCTTGCCCGGAGCTATTCGCTCAGATTATTTCTCATTCACTGCTGCAGGGCGCATAAAAAACAACGTAGAACAATACAATGACACATCATAAAATATTAACGCGACTTCTCATGCATGAATATGATCATCATCACTTTTGAATTTCGAATCACTTAAGAGATTGTGAATTCTGTTACGTATTAACATTTTAAACCACTTATTTATTTATTATTCATCGGCAATTTCACCGGATAACAACAAGAAATCAACAAGAACATATTCAGTTCAATTGATTATCACTATTTTAAAGTGGAACAGAAACAATTCATCAAGAGAATATTCTTTCGCTCATTGCAAACGATTTAGTTCTCTTCGAAAAAGTATTCGTCGTGTTTTTGCGACAAATGTTCGTAGTGCAAAAAATGACTGTTTCCTTGTGCTCTCCCGAATTCCTTTTGTTCGCCTAAAACATAGCTAACTATAGCTGAGCCTCGTTTCTTTCATTAACACGAAAATCCAAGCTCAAACATGATCTCATCTAAACCCTTGATGCAACAAGATAATCCAGTCATACATCATCCTTTCTAATTACCATCTCTGTATGCATGCAAGCAAACAAGATGATGTCCTTCCTACGTTCAGTGGCTCAAACATCCCAAGAATCATAACAGTGATGTTATAGTGATACA